TAACTTAAAACACCCAAAACGACAATTTTGTTGTTTTGTGTTTTCTTTGTAAATTTTCAACCCGGTTTCAGAAACTCGTTTTCGAAAATAGGATAGAGAATGCGTTTTCACTGTTTTGAAAAATCGAAAACAGAAAACGGGTTGAAAATGGCAAAGAGAACAGGCCCTAAGTAGTCCATTTTTTGAAATGATCTATACAAATATTGAGTGTGCAGAAGTGATATAGGGGAAATGGAGTTGAAGTCACAAGAAGATTCTAAGAAGTTAATCAGAATTAAGAGCTTTTCTTGGTTTTATGCCATTATAATAGGGTTGATTCTTAGTCTCTATGTTGCTGTGTATCTAAATGGATATTCAAGAAATGTGGAGAAATTTAATAGAAAGCATCCAAGAAAGGAAACTGGTACGTATACGATGGCTCAACACTACTACACTAGTTGTTCTATGTCGTGATATCGATAAATCTTTAGAAGTTTACTCGATTTTTGCCAAACCTAACATTTTCCAATCTAATGTTCAGGTCAAATGGTACCTGAGATTCTGATAAGCAGAACCCTTGAAGGAATCATGACAATGGCAATCAAATTTCTCAATTTCTTCATTGCCAAATTGTTTCAATTTAGATATCTTGCACCACTGAAATTAGCAACTTCTTTCATGCCACTGCTATTTTGGGTGGTGTTGACTCACTCATTCTCATCTTCGTACTCCTAATTCTTGAATNACTCATTCTCATCTTCGTACTCCTAATTCTTGAATTTCGAGTCTTGATTTCCTTCGTTAACCACGTGAAAACGGTGAAATAATTATGTTGTACTCGCCTTTCGTATTTTAAATTAGATAGGATTCAACAAAATCAATGTAAGAAACATCTAAATGTTTACCTCAATTTTCACTAATTCAGTAGTATGAAACATATGTTTATCCACTCTCCTCACAAGTTTCATAATGTTAATTTTTTTATATGAAAGGTTTTTAGGAAGTACAAAATACTGTGTAAAATGAAAAAGTGACATAATGTTAATTTTTTTATAAAAATTGTCACTTTTTTACTTTTTTTTTAAAAAAGTGACTCAAACTCAAAAAAAAAGTGACAAAACTAAAAAAAAAAAGTGACACAC